TAAAAATGGTAAAAACGTTGATGTTAAAATATGACTATATTACTGAGATGAGGTATTATGTACACTATTTACATTATTCGGACTATTGTCCTCATCTTTGTCGCCATATTTTTCACAACGTTTCGGCCGTTGTACGCTCCAGCCTTCTTCAGGTGATTGGAATGTCGAACTGAAACCTTTATTTCGCTCACCGGGGTAGACTGTTCTAGTTTCACGTGCAATGTTTAATGGATGTCAGTTATCAGTTATCTCCTGTTAATTCCCCTCTCCAAGTTCTCCACTGCCTTAACCGGGTATTGAACACACACCCTTTGGGCCCTCAAGGACACATGGCACAGTGGATAAAGGCGTTATTTAGATCCAGTGACTGGACTCAAAGAGTGTGAGTTCAATACCTGGTTAAGGCAGTAGAGAACTTGGAGAGGGGAATTAACAGGAGATAATTGACAACTGACATTCATTAAACATGGCACGTGGAACTAGAACAGTCTACGTCAGTTAGCGAAATAAATGGTTCAGTTCGACATTCCAACCATCTGAAGGAGGCCGGAGCGTACAGCCGCCGAAACGTTGTAATATATATAGTGACAAAGATGAGGACAATGGTCCGAATAATGTAAATAGTGTTAAAATATGAATTGAAATATGAAACGAGGAAAAAAGTGAATTTTTTTTTCTGATAAACTTATAGCAAATAGAATTGTTATGAATCCTCAAAGCCGGAATGTAAGCAATCTGGAATGTCGTTTTGAAAAATGGGCCGAAAATTATTTGAGTCGTATTGTTGACAACAAAGACATTTATTTGACATCAGAAAAATATAAATAGTTTTAAACAGAAAATTTTGACATCGTAAAAATATTGTTGTCGGAGAATGTATTGTTTTGAATAACTGACCGTTTTGTTTGAAGGCCAGTGTAGTTCCTCCACAATTGGAGAAAATAATTAATTGATGTGAAAACGTAATTTTTGGCCAAGAAACAAACTGAGTTATTATTCGCAAAGCCAAAATGTAAACAATAAGATTTTGATCGGTCATATTGAAGGTCTACTTCAAAGGAAATATTTTGACATAATAAAAATAAAAATAATTTTTGAATAACCTCTCGCTTTGTTTTGAGGGTCGTTGTCTTTTCTCCAAGGTTGGAGAAAATAATTAATTCATAGGAATATTGATGAGTTCTGAGGTGCGAAGTCGGGCGAAATACATATAGACAGAGCGCTTAGTTGAAGCCATAATTTGGAGCCAAGAGTCAGCAAGAGATGCAGACGAGGCGAAACAGCAGCGGCAAAGGAGCTGCTGAACCCCATTTGTGTATTGTAATTCCATGTTATCTAGCCATCTTAATGGCCACCTATCTAGAAGGAAACAGAATAAAATAACATTGATAGATCGAGTTCCACAGCAATCATAATAGTCATCCTTTTAGGAGAAGGAAACTCTGATATAAAACCAACCTTTTTGACCTCATGAGAATGCCAAAAACTATAACTAAACGCGGGTTACCAAGGGACGCCACTCACGATGACACACAGGTTGAAAGATTTGCTACTGGGAAGGAAATGAGTAGTCAGCCACTTAACCTATCAACAGCAACTAAAAAATTAACTACAATGTCAAAAGTTAAAAAGTTCTTCAAATGGAAAATAAGAAAAATAAATGTCCAGTCAGGTTCAAACGAATTCAGGGGGAACTATTTAAGAAAGCAAAGCTTGATGTTGTCTGTATGCAAGAGTTGCATTGACTTAGTTGTGACTCCATTACGCATTTGGAATACAAGTTATTTTCGACTAGCCACTTAGAGAAAAAAGCCTCCGGGCTAAGTAACAGTCTAACTCTCTGCTTTCGGGCGGAGAGGAACCCGGACGAGGCTCCGCCGAAGGACAGAGTATCGTTCGGGGTGGTTGACTGCCCCTGAACCCGTTTATGCGGGTTCAAAGAGGGAATAATTTTGGCCGAGCCTACGGGCTCGGAAATCCCACGTTAAACCCGTCCTTGTGCCATATGTAACCGATGTAGTTTAACGTCTTGCCCAGGACGAGTGAATTTAGCATTCATCAATAAATTAGAGGCAAAATTGATGTTAGTAAATTTTGATCAAAACATAAAGGAATGTCATCATATCTTCATTAGAAGAAGCGCGTGAGACCATTTCATGAATATTTAGAAGGAAAACGATACGCCGATCAGACGACAGTCCTAAGTTAATGAAAAGAGACAAGAAAAAAACAAAGAAAAGAAAAGAAAATGGAAGAAGAGATACTAAACAATTAACAAAAATAAATAAATAAATAAAAAAATAAAATACTATTTAACACTCGGAGTAATTAACCTCCGGAAAATTAGAAATGAAATTAATGTAGCCAAAGTGCATAGACAATGTGGGGAAAAGCGAAAAATCACAATTATATGAGACAATCAAAACGGCCACAGAAGAAATTTCAACGCTGATCACGCTAAACTAAAGATCGCCATAGAAACAGAACATATAACAATATACAGGCGGTGTAGTGGTTAGCAAGCTTGTCTCGTTAGAACAATTAGGACTGAGTGCCCCATACTTTCGGCCTTGTGACAGATTTAAGCTACACTTAGAAAATAGCTTAGGAACATCTGGATGCAGTGTAATGGTTAGCAAGCTTGTCTCGCTAGAAGAATTACGACTGAGTCGTGAATTCGATCCTCACTGGGTGCACCCTACTTTCGGCCTTGTGCCACATCTAAGCTACGCTTGGAAAATCACGATACCAATATGGTCCGAAAGTTTTGTTACCCACAACGAAAAAGTAATGAGAACAATAGACGGACAAGTAATACAGTAATAACAGAGCACATGTACTGGTTTCAGTTTGACGCTGTCACACATCGATAAGGCCTGGATGAATATTATCATTTTCCTGCTTTGTTGATTGTTGCAAAGGCTCTCCGAATGGTGTCTTTCAATTGATGGGTCTTTCTGGTATCGTTCATGTGAAACTCTCTTCTTGATAATACTTCACAGAACGCTGAAATAGAAAATTATATCATGTAGGGGTGACACGACTTTCGGACCACACTGTACGTCTAATCATTAAAAAGTCCGTCTCCTAGAATAAGCAATAACGAACCTGCTGATAAAGAAATTAAGAACGCTATTAAAAAGTTTAAAAAAGAAAAGAAAAGAGTAATAAAGCATTAATTGTAATTGCGACTGAACTTTTGAAAATAGCTTACTTTCTCCGCAAATTCAATAACATGTTTCTCTATTTTAGGAAAGAAATCTGGAAACAGAAATGCATGACAAAACTGTGGGATTTATTACGCATGAATGCATCAGTCAGTTTATCAAAGACATGATGTGGCTTCCCTCTGTCTTTTCTACAAATATTTTTATGGCAACTGCTCAAACGAGGTATTTTCACTATTGCCCCAACTGCCCGAGTTTAAGCGTGCTGCTAGGTGGGCATCTCAGTCCTACTCTTTTGCTGTCGAAACAGTTAAATGAAACCGCCACTTCTATTTCAACAGCTTCTACTCTCGACCGCCCTCCCAACAATGGAACTCACTTTCTCTTACTTGCTTCATAATAATCTTCAAATGTTTAAATGTAATGTCAATCGGCAACTTCTAATGCCTTGATCTCCGTCCTTCTCTTTATACTTTACTCAAACGCTACTATTTTCTCTTATTTCACTCTCTTTAACCTCTTGCGTGCTGCTGGAACATCCCGCCTTGATTGGGGTGAAATGCTTAAAAAAAAAGTAAGATTAAATAGGTTCACCTATCGTCTTTGTTTTTACTCCTTCTCAGTCTTTTAAACAGGAGTAGAGATTTATCACTTGTTAACTGTTTAGGGTTGTATTTCCGGTTCTTTCTAAAGTCTACTTCCGTTCTATAGTCCAAACGCTTGTCCTTTTCTACGCTAATATAACTCCACACAGTAACCATTTCCGTTGAGTTGCTCCTGGGTCTTCTATTAGGAGAAGATTAATAACAAAACAAAAGAAAATTACGATCTCTTGATTTAAACTCTATGGAACTTTGTTAAGAGGGAGCCCAACTACAATATCAGGGACTCGCTGAAACCTGTTATTGTGGGTGTCATTGACAACATGAATTAAGATGACTTAATCAACGCATCTAACAGTCTTAGAAACCACATTAAAGTGGCAATCGAAGCTGATAGCGGTTATATTCAATCGATTTACGTTTTGTGTCTTTATGTAAGGACACGTGCACTAAATCTTGCAAAAAATAAGGTATTGTTTTCTATGTTAAATAATATTATTGGCTCAAATTAAAATTTGTTCTCAAATATTTGATACCCCCTTGACATATAAAACCAGACGTTGTACTAGAGAATGTTGATTGGTTCGTTTTCTACGGTTTATCAACCGTTTTAAGTTTATTTAAAGCCAGAAAATATTTTTAGATTTTATGAATCATTTTCTGATTGGTTTGACTTGGTTTAATTTACGGCATATCAACCTCAATGGGGTATTTAATGCCGACAAAATTTTTATTGTTGGTAATATATTTTTTTTCAAAAATGTATTCCTGGTAATAATGTATTGTTTGTAATAATATTTTCGTCAAAAATTCATTGCTGGTAATAATTTTTGACAAAAATGTATTGTTGGTATTGAAACCTATTTTTGCATTTTCATAATGTTTTGACCACAGTGTGGGGGTTAACTATTTTCCCATAACTGGGACCCTAACAGGTGCTACTACCTCAGGTCATGGTGGACCTGGGAACACCAGCAAGGTGGTTCCAAGCTCCTCAAAACCTCTTGATCCAAGGCCTTGCTGTCAGACGTAGTTTATCGTCTTACCCAGGACGCCATTTTTTGAGATAATGATTTAGTGATACAAATCTTACTGTTCAACTCATAGATTGGGGGGTAGAATAGGTGGATTCATACCTTCCACAAAGGTATTTGGGCGTAGGTGAATTGAAAATCAGCTTTCCGATTAACAAATCCGAGTCATTATCCATTACACCACCCGCACATCCAAGCTTACAGCAGCTGGTATTCCCAAGCGGTCACCCATCTAGGTACTCACCAGGCTCGACGTTGCTTAAATTCGGTGATCGTAGAGAAGCATGTGTTTCAACGTTATATGTTCGTTCCAAAATTCTAACGCATCATCTTGATCAACTTGACAGGTTTAAGAATCCTTTATCCGAATTTCTTGGAATTGGAAATGGTTCGATTTTAGATTTTTTTTGACTTTGGAATACAGCCTATTTAATTTATATATAGAATTTATAAAATGTCTATATTTCTGAGATGATCTGTTATGTACACTATTTACATTATTCGGACTATTGCCCTCATCTTTGTCGCTATATTTATTACAACGTTTCGGTCGTTGTACGCTCCGGTCTTCTTCAGGTGGTTGGAATGTTCTCAAGGACACATGGCACAGTGGATAAAGGCGTTAGTTAGATCCAGCGACAGAACCCAAAGAGTGTGAGTTCAATGCCCGGTTAAGGCAGTGGAGAACTTGGAAAAGGGAATTAACAGGATTTAACTGATATCCATAAGACATGGCACGTGGAACTAGAACAGTCTACCCCAGTGATCAAAATAAACGGTTCAGTTCGACATTCCAACCACCTGAAGAAGGCCGGATCATACAACGGCAGAAGCGTTGTAATAAATATGACAACAAACATGAGGAAAATTGTCCGAATAATGTAATTAGTGTAGCATTTATAAAATGGGACAACTTGGGAATGGAACCCAAGCATAAACACAGTATCACTTTACATTTCATAACACAGCTTATACATAAACCCTGAAGGTAGTTTTATATAAATAACATATACCCTGAAAGTAGCTTTATATAAAATTTAATAAATTTTGTGTCCATACAGATCCAGGTAATGACGCTAGTCATCTAATGCTCACACGGATTTTTAAGTGGTGAAATTAAGTTTTCTTGTAAAAATAATGGTTTGTACTTTCTGTACGTGTACAAAAAATACGATCACTACATACAAAAAATATATAAATGCAGGACTTTTTTACATTTTAAATAATATCTTTACTGAGCACGAAACACGTGGTAAGTAATCCACGAACGAAAGTTTTGCTGTGACGGTCACTAACAAAAAAGAAATAAAATAAAATAAAAAAATAATAATAATAATCTGGTGCCGAGGTAGGCTACGTACCTGGGCTGGAGAAACCCTACCCAGGGTAGATGAGGCCACTTACAAAAGTTACACATCAGCTAGGAACCTACCCAGTGCTTTTCGAAATTTTCTATTTGTGTCAAGTCATGTCAACATCTGAAAAACTTTCGTATTTTGAAATTTCAGTTAAAGGATACTCAACTTGTAATGGTGAAAAACAAAATGAGAGTTGATGTGTTATATAGTGAATTTTAAAACTGGAGAAAAAGAGTTAATTACTCTCAATTCCCTGCCAGAGAACAAAAGAGAATAAAGGAGACAGTGGTACCCATTATTATCGGGGCACTTGGAACAGTAACAAAAATATATACAGTAAGGCTTTAAAAAATGGAAAATGGAGGAAAATGTGAAATCATCAAGTGTTAGTAAAATATCAAGGTGCTTCTTTTCTACAACTTCTGCGGGCCATAAAGTAGTAAGATCTATTTATTAACCATGCTAAGTCTGGCTTAAGACAATAATTATTACGCACTCAGTAAGGATCAAATCATTATACAGTTTGCGAGATTATTTTACTAAGTATTCTAACACTACGAGACAACCAGATTATCTCAATTTCATACTGACATTTTTACTTTATCAACCATCGTGGCCTGACAATGACGAGACGTTCGTTTTAAAATTATTGTTAAACGTGACAGTGTAATTTGAAGGCAACTCGCCCATATATTGTTTGTGTTTGCTGAGGAGGTGTTGAAGGATAGATACGACTTAGTGTCACTTTATCTTGATTCAAAAGTTGGCAGTTTGAAAACCCAGCGAAGAAATAATAATAATAATAATAATAATAATAATAATAATAATAATAATAATGATCGGATCAAAGTGATTAATTTTGATTAGTTTTCGACAGAATATCGTGACAAAAACGAGTGAAGGAAAGGCATTTAATTCACTGTCCAAGTGTATCAGTCACGGTGGATTTAAAATGAAGAAAAATGGAAGTAGCAAAAAAAAAAAATAAATAAATAAATAAAAAATAAATAAATAAATAAATAAAAAGTTGAATTGCTAATAAAATAAAGGAATGATCTTAAAAATGGCAAGAAAGAAACAGAAAAAAAACTGCGGAGAGAACAAAAAGAAGAAAAGAAATGAAAGAAAGAGAATAAAGAAGGAAGTGAGAAAAGGAAAGAAAATAGTAAGAAGAAGAAAGAGACAGAAAGGAAGAGGAGGAGGAATGAGGAAAGAAAGTGAAGAAGAAGAAGAAGAAGAAGAAGAAGAAGAAGAAGAAGAAGAAGAAGAAGAAGAAGAAGAAGAAAATAAGTGAAAGTATGTGAACGAAAAGGGAAAGGAAGAATATGGAAGTGATTAAGGAAAAGTGAAGAAAAAGAAAGAATATGAAGAAGCAAGATTAAGAGAAGAAATAAAAGATGAAAAACGAAATAAGAAGAGGGGGAGAAGGTGATTCGAAAAGAGAAGAGCATAACAAAAAACAAATTGAATTAAAAAAAAAAAGAGAAAAATACGAAAAAAAAAAAGAGAAGCACCAGAAAAGGCAAGAGTAAGTGAAGGCAGAAGAAAAAATGAAAAGAGGAAGGAGAATTGTGAAAAGGGAGAGAGAAAAAGAAAAGGCAATAGTAAAGAAAGGAGGGAAGAAAACATACAAAAAATGGAAAGAAAGGTGAAAATGAAGAAATGAAGGGAGAAGAGAAAAAGGAACACGAATTAAGAAATTAGTTACAGAATTTTTTTGACTGAATTTTATCAATGTTGAAAATGCGAGGAAGAGCTTCTTTTCTGCTACTTCTTCTTAAAGTAATAAAATCTATTTATTAACCATGCTAAGTCTGGCTCAAGGCAATAATCGTTACTCACTCGGTGAGGATCAAATCATTATACAGTTTACGAGATTATTTCACTATGAGACAACCAGATTATCCCAACTTTATACTGATATCTGCTTTATTTTATCAACGATCGTGGCATGACAGTGACGAGCCGTTTGTTTTAAAAATATTGTTAAACGAGACAGCCCACATTAGTTGTGACTTGAAGGCAACTGTTACACCTGCATAAAGCCCCAAGATATGTAAAAGATTCTTAAAACCAGAAGTTCAATTAAAAATCATAAGAATTATTTTGAGAGCAAGGGTCCTTTGAAGGAAAGGAAGATTATAGCGAGATATTATTAAAGGTATAAAATGAAACCATGGCTATAAAAAGAGGCATTTTTAAAAAAATCATGAAATTGCCCAGAAAGAAAGAAAATTCAATTACCGTAAATGGTAATACGAAAAAAAGGAAGAAAGAAAGAAAGGCAGAAAGAAAGACAGGAGAAAGGAAAGGAAGGAAGGAATAGACAAAGAAAGAAAGAAAAAAGAATGTAAGAAAGAAAGAATGGAATGAACAAAAAAGAAAGAAATGAAGAGAGAAAAAACGAAAGAAGAAAAGGAAAAAGCAAGCAAGGAAGAAAGGAAGGGAGAAATAAAAACAGAAAGAGAGAAAGGAAGAAGGAAAGAAAGAAAGGACGTCAGAAAGAAAGAACGAAAAAAATAAAGTAAGGAATAAAGAAAAGAAGTAGAAAGAAAGAAAGAACGAAAGAGAGCAAGAAAAAAAAATGAAGAAAGGAAGGAAGAAAGAAAGAACGAAAAAAATAAGTAGTAGAAAGAAAGAAAGAGAGCAAGAAAGAAAAAAATGAAGAAAGGAAGGAAGAAAGAAAGAAACGAAGGAAGAAAGAAAGCAAGAAAGAAAGGAAAAAATAAAGAAAGCATGGAAGGAAGAAGTGAATAAAGAAAGGAATGAAAAAAAGGAAGAAAGGAAGGAAAGAAAGAAGACGAAAGAAGGAAAGATAGGAAGGAAGAAAGAAGAAAGGAAGGAAGAAAGAAGAAAGGAAGGAAGAAAGAAAGAATGAAAAACGATTGACCGCTTTCCCCTCCTCTCTCATCAAAGCTCAATCGAGGAAAGAAAATACTGTACGTAGTGACTAAATCAAAAGAACAGAGGAAATGAGAATAAGAAGAAATACACATTTATTCATGAAATCAGGAGAGAAGGGAAATATCACGAACATGCATCGGAGGCTTTTAATACAATACGGCGACAGTGCACTACCACGTATGGGTGCATGAAGGGATTGAGATGTTTAAAAGGGGCCAGATATGGGCAATGCAAGAAGAAGGATCACGGTTCTTCGTTCCTCCTTAGTGCACACTGTTAGCGGAACGAGCATGTTTACACTGTAACAGCATCAAGAAAACTGACTCGATCAAGCTCAAATCAAAATAGTACCAACTGTGTGCACACATGATCAGAAGACAGAGAGAAAAACTTAAAGATATATTAAGGCGAAATCGTAGGTTGTCTAAAGAAAAAATTAAGTTGGGACTACTCAGTGGACAAGAGGGGTGAACATGCTTTCAATCAATGTCAACTTAGAAGTAGCACCATTGCCTTTCCCACAAGGGGAAAGGTGGTTCGGACATTCAAAGAAACTAGTAGTATCTTGGGCAAACCACATTCTGGACAGCATGCCTTATCATGTTGAGGGATCAGTTAATGCTGTAATTTGAAAGGTTACGTGAAGGCCTACCCGGGTGGTTCTAATAGGATGGAACCTCTGTTCATTATTTCATGTTGGTAAGTGTCTGCCTTTAACTGGGTTGGGAGACGTGTCCGAGTGGAATGGGCTCCTCGCCCACCAGATATTAGTCTTCTTAATTTCTTTTTCTAGGTTATACTGAAGGAGAAATTGTACACAATAAAAATCAGATGTCTGAATCATCATAAGGAACCCATCATGAATGAATCTGGTCAAATTAACAGAATCGTGGATTTATTGCACCGAGTTTATGTGAAACTCATTAAGCGCATCAGACTTTGCATTACTAACTGTGGAAACCATGTTGAATAAAATTATTGAAAATGTGCATTTTCGCACATATAACAAGCGGCCAGCCTATAAAATCATACTTA